AGATTTCCTCGTCCTGCTGGCAGTGGGGTAAATCTTGCCCTCTACAGGGCATTTTGTATGGTCATAGAATAGAATCATAGAATCGTAGAATCACAGAATAGTTAGGGTTGGGAAGGACCTTAAGATCATCAAGTTCCAACCCCCCTGCCATGGGGAGGGACACCTCACACTAAACCATGTCACCCAAGGCTCTGTCCAGCTTGGCCTTGAACACTGTCAGGGATGGAGCATTCACAGCTTCCTTGGGCATCCCATTCCTGTACAAATATCTCAGGCATCTCTCTCTAGTTCACTTGAAACATGAAGTGAAGTCTCCTGGTCTCTACCTCAATGACTCAGCTGAGATTAAAACTCAGATTGAAAATTTAGTGCCATCCTGTTGTTCCTGACTTTGCTGACTGCTGTGTCCTGTGTGAGCAGCAGCTCGAGACCCACCTCTGTATCCTGAGCTATGTCTGACCATGACTATGCCATCCTGGTTTTCCTCATCTACCCCTGCTTCAGCTTGTATTTTCATCCCCCTCCATGCAGGTGGTTTGTGTTCTGGTGTTGGAGAGCTCCTGGCTCTCAGTACTGCTATGGCATGAGCAGAAATCATTTGCTGTTGTAATTTGGGTGAGAAATGAGGTGATGAAAGATTGTCTCTGCATCAGTGTTTGATTTTCTCTTAGCTGCCATGCTCCATTTCCTGGCATCCTCAGCCAAATGGATGTGATTATAACCCTGCCAGTCTACACCATGCTGTGGATCCTGTCCCAAATGAGACTGTGAGGTACACTCTCTTCAAAACCTTTGGCAGAGCCGTGGGCCATATGGGGACAGCCAGGCACTCAGCACATAACCTGGGACTGTTCCTGCTGTTGTCCCATGTGTAGGATTTCCACAGATGGAGAGAAGTCATCCCCTCTTCCTCCAGAGAGACAGCAGCTCTAGGATACCCAATACAAGTATCATCTCTCATGGCTGCTCGGAGTAACATGGCTTTCTCTGGAGTAACAACCTCAGTGGATAGCGAGTGCTGTGGATTGGTAAGACACACGGGCCTGCGATCACAGAGGCTTTCCTTCAGCAGGGGAACAGGTTAACAGAGCCCACAAAGAGCATCTTCTGCTGCAAGGGCAGAGAATGGGTGGAATAGCAATGCCCATGCTGGAGCTGGCTGGGAAACAGAGGCTTACAACACTTATCTCCAGAAAGCTAAAACATGAACGTGCTCTCCAGGCAGTGACTGGAGATAGAACAACGTACAGTTATTAATGTTCCCACACTAAAAAGCCTGTGGTACAGATTCCCTCCAGAAAGATGACCCTTCAGCACAGAGAGAGTGCTTTTCAGCACTGCTGCTCCAGCTCACACATCACTTGGCGTGGGTATCTTTTCCAGGCTATAAATACAGAGATGCCAATTCCCTGGCAAATGTGGTCAAGGACATGGACTTGGGGGTCCTTTTGCCTCAAGGTGTACTGCAAACCAGTGCAGCAAAGCGCTTTCCTCGCTGTGATGTTACTTTTTGCAAGGGAGGTAAAATGAAACAGACTTGTCCTCAGAGGAAAGAGCAGATGGTAAAATCTTGAGGCGTGCTGTGCTTTGAGTAAAAAGAAGGCTTCATGAATGACTGGATCTGAAGGCAAAGACTAGATATGATTTAGTCTGTTCTCTCCTATTCCCTTTATTTAAGGACAACAGCTGACTGCTTTTCCACTGTATTTCAAAGGGCTGCTTCAAACGGCATGTTTCAACTGCAGGCATCTGCTCCTTCCAAAGTACTCAACAGCTTTGGTGCTTCATAGTGCCATTTACAGCTGTGAATTTCAGGGCACTAAGCACCCAACCAAAGAGGCTTCCAGGTCAATACTCAAGTGTGGAGACACTTGAAAATACATGGTGTCTTGAAGACAATGGACTTCTTTTTTTGCTTTGGAGAAATGAGACTGTTTGACTCTTCCTGTTTCAGTGCTGAGCATATCAAACATACGCAGATTTAATCATAGATGCCAAGGAGTAAACCAGCATGTAATGGCTATGAAGAAGCACATTCATTAACACTGTTGAAAGCCTTCAAGCCTGCTCATCTATACCCTGAGGACCCACTTCCTGGGGAGGTTAACATTCTTCCTACATCTCTCATCTCTCTTGGGCACAATAGACCCACGTCCTCCTGAGTGCAAGAGAGGTAGCTCTTTGTGGGCCATCCACTGAATACACACAAGGAAGGGATCTTTTGTGCCATTTTCCCTCCAGCATCCTCATGACTATAGGTCCTGATAGACCGGAAGGAAAAAATGAGGTGTTTCTAACTGTAGCCTCAGCTTACAAACCCCGTGTTGTTTGCATTTACCTTGACAACAGTTGCATCGCAGTTCCCGTATCTTTGTGGTTTTGCTTTCTCTGTGCTTTGGTATTTTAAACCAAGAGCCGATGTTGAAATAATACAGTTGGGTTTTCCCGAATTTCCCACTTTGATGGCAATCTTGTCAGCCCTCCCAAACCACAAAGACGTACGGGTGGTGAGGGAGGGAGCCCTCTGAATGGCCAGACACTGCAGGGAGCGGCGCTGACTGTTCGGCATGTCTCACTCTGAGTCACTGCTGAACCCGTCAGTGGAGATGGGGAAACAGCCCTCACCAAGGTGCCACGTTCTGAATGAAACAGAAAAAACACACCTTGGGTTCACAGACATTACACTTCTGGGGAGAACATTTATTAATTAATATTGCTATTTAAAATGAAATAATAATAGAAGAAAGAGCTCCACTGGATCAAGAAGTCCTGTGTGGAGCAAGGCTGAAACATTACCTGGTGTCAGATCCCTTCAAACACTGAGTGAGGAGTTCACCAATTAGCAGCGTGTGTGAAGCGCTCTCTAACCTAAGCTCAATTTACTCAGTACACATTATCTGATGGCTTGGAAGGGAGAGGGAAGTTGTTGTCTCCAGGAGGCAGAGGGTTACTGTGATCTAATGTCTGCATTTGCAAGGCCAAGGCTTCTTACTCATCTCTTAAATGTCTACTTTAAGTTGTATTATTTTTAAAAGTAGCCACGAGACAGATTTGTAAAGCAATTCCTTGTAAAAACCCCTGGTTCAAAGGCTAGCATCCAAGATCTCGCTGTAAATACACTCTGTGCATTTCAGATTTCCCCGGCAGTAAATAATGGATTAAGTCATGAAAATCGCATTCTAATGAGAATGACATGAGGCTTTAATGAGAGCAGAGCTAGGACAATGAAGCCAATTTTCTGTTCTCCTCAGAAATCAGGCTAAGGTTTATCATTAACATATCATGACCAACTGTAAGGAAGTGATTAATGACAGCAGCAAGATAATAGCAAGGTGCTTGTCGGTGTTACTGTGGTTGATGTATTGATGCATCACAAGAATCTGAGCTTTGTCAAGAGAAGTTTACATTTCAAGAGAGAAGACTGGAACAGAAAGTCCACAGCAGCCAACCTCGGGAGCACCCAAACTACAGGCTGATGACAAGGTGCACTCTTCCCTACCCTTTCTGTTTAAGCTGAACCCTATAGGACAGTAAGTGACTATAGTAAGTAGCTGCTGGCACTCCCCCCAGAGGAAGCAAGCTCAGAGCTCTGCTCCTCACTCCTAGTGCAATTTGTACATTTCATACCATGAAGCAGGACCACAGAAGTCCCTGGTGCAAGGACCAACCATTACTGCTCATTCCCCACCCCAGAAGAGCCCAAACAACATGCCACAGAGGCAGGACCTTTTCTGCTTGCCTTCTCTCGCAGATGCAAAGCACAGCTGCTGAAGATGCTTATGTGGAAAGGAAAGCTGTGGCTTTGAATTCTCTTAGGTTGAGGGTGCGAAACCCAGGTCTTGCCATTTCTGGGGAAGTGAACAATCTAGTGGGGTTTTGTGCGAAAAGAAGGAATTATCTGTTCCAGTTATGTTCCGGAAGAAAAAAAGCTAGCTGGTGACCTCTACCCATAAGGGAGGATTATGGTTATGTATGGAAGTACTCTGCAAATTCCCTTCTGGATGATTGCCCTTGCCACTTCCTGAGTGTGCCCAGGGGACACCAAGGCATGCAGTAACCTTTCACTGTCTTCCAGTCTCTGGATTCCACAGGAAGAAGACATGGGTGCACAGGTTGGAAGTCATGGTCCATGCCAGCCAGGTCCTGGCTTGGCTGTATGGAGGACTATAAGATGAATTGTGGCTCATCAGCATTCTGCAGCCAGACAGCCAGATGTACCAGGTACAAGCTGACACCTAATTTGGGCTTTCAGGTAAATACCAAAGTCCAAGAGAAAGGTGTCATTTTCAAGACTGACTTCCTCTTCACATCTCAGACTGCCTTAGCAGTGTCCTGCTCAGCACCATCAACGCTGTGGGCCCCTTTCTGGGATGCCAGCTCTCCTCGTCATTGCAATGCCCTAGGTACCTTAACCCATGTAATAATGCTAAGGACCTTCCAGCTGACATTCTGCAGCCTGCCTTTCACTTGCAGCTTTGTACCCTTCCTCCTGAGCTGCCACAGGAGAGTTTTCAGAGCTTCTGGGCAGTTGTTCTCCCCAGTTGTCCTCATACTGTTGTTCTCATGCTGTTACGATCAAAACACCTCGCGGATGAAGACAGGCTGAGAAAGTTGGAGCTGTTCAGTCTGGACAAGAGAAGGCTGCGTGGAGACCTCATAGCAGCCTTCCAGTATCTGAAGGGGGCCTATAGGGATGCTGGGGAGGGACTCTTCATTAGGGACTGTAGTGACAGGACAAGGGGTAACGAGTTCAAACTTAAACAGAGGAAGTTTAGATTGGATATAAGGAAGAAGTTCTTTCCTGTTAGGGTGGTGAGGCACTGGAATGGGTTGCCCAGGGAGGTTATGAATGCTCCATCCCTGGTGGTGTTCGAGGCCAGGCTGCACGGAGCCTTGAATGACATGGTTTAGTGTGAGGTGTCCCTGCCCATGGCAGGGGGGTTGGAACTGGATGATCTTAAGGTCCTTTCCAACCCTGACTCTTCTATGATTCTATGAAATTGTGCTCCCAATGGTGCTGAGAGCAGGAATAAAGCAGAAATTCCCTCCAAACAATTCCTAATGAAAACTGTGCAGTTAATATGGAGCATTATAACAGGGAGACCCTGCTACACTGGAGAGGACACCCAAGGTGGGGGGGAGGGCATCACATGTCTTCCCAGCTGACTGCTGAGAGAATTTTCCCTTTCCATTATCTCTCTCTACTTCAACACTCATGCCTTGCTGCCACCGATACAGGCTGGTAACAGCAAGTGCTGTTTGATAAGATGATAGCAAACATGGCATCCTAACTCAGGATGTGGTTAGGACTTCCTCTGAGAAAGCTCATACATTGAGGCACTTGTCTTCACAGTTCATCATTGTTTCAACCATCTGATTCACAAATGTACTGAGCGCTTCTCAGGAAAGGACTCATGAGATGTGCAGCCCAAGTTAAGATCAGGTCTTTAAAAGAAGCTTTGCCCCCCTATGTGTTATAAAAGAAGACAACCCATGCTGCCAGTTCTACTGTGATGCTTGTGGTGAGATCCCATGATGTTACAGAAGTGCAGACCTACTTCCTTGATGCAAACAGTGATGTCAGGTCCCGACTGATGAATGTTTTTAATCACCTTTATCTTTAGATGTACCCAGTGATTAAGACTGAGAAAGGGACTGTACATGCTTGCATGTGAGAGATGATGCTCTGTGTGGAGTATCTGAATATGCATATCAGCTTCAATTCTGTCTGAAGAGCTCCTTAGCCCTGCCAGAACTCACAAGTCAATCCAGCTAAGAAAGATACAATTTCTTTCTATCTTTTCCAACTGCTGTTGGAGATTCACTTTGGCCAGAGTCCCAGCCAGTGCGAACCCAGACATAGCACTGGGAGCACACAGAGATAGAGAGTGAAGAGTGTCCAACTTCCCAGCGCCCTGGAAGCCAGCTGCAGGATGTTTATTAGCTGTGATGATACACGGGATAGAAGTGAAGATGACTAACAAGCCTTTCACTTGACGTTGTAGCTGAGTGTCTCATAACCAGTAACATTCAACTGCCTCTAGGCAAAACCCTCCATCAGTCCCAAAGAGCAGGCAGTGCAGTGAATGAGTAGACTGAAGCTGGGACAGAACATTTCTCAAATCATTTGCCATTACAGATTTCCACCCCTGGTGCTCTGAGCTCTAGTACACAGCTAGCAATGCCCTTCCTCCACATCGTTATTGGCTCGACAACCTCTAACATAACTCACCCATTACACATTGTCTAGGGTTTGGCTGTCATGGCTATAAACATGTGAAATAAGGCGAGATAAGAGATTACCCAGATTATTGGCAGCAGTAGAAGCTGTAGAGCAACCTTGGCAAGGCTGCTTGTGCTATCTGGAAGAAAGCTGAGTGGAGAGGAAAACAAGGCCCTGCCTGTACTGGGGGCACAGTCCTTGGCACCCTACTAGGATAGCTTGACACAGGCTGCCATCACCCAGGTTTTATGACAAGCCACCCTTTCAGCTCAACAAGGCTCTGTACAGGCTTAAAGCATCTCCCCATGTGCAACATTTGTCAATGGCAGGGCCCTGCTGAACATTTAGATACGCAAGGGAGTTACTAAAGCCTAAGGAGGCACCACAAGGCATTGGGACCTTCTGCTTCATCATATGCTTACCCTGAGCTGGCAGCAAAAAGGGTTTATGCTAACACACTCCACAGCTCCTATTTGCAACAGGCTTGTTAGAAAGGGGTCTGGTCTTTTCAGAAAGGGAGCCCAGTGGGTGCTCAGAGAGCTGGAGGATGCTCACACGTTATCTGCGCTGTGGTAACTGATCACGTATGTGCTCTCACCCCTCTGCAAGGGAAGCACATTCATCTAACCCTCTTCCACTGAGGCTTAACATAATGTGTTTTACCTCATGGCTGCCCTAGGCAAAGTGCATGAATCAGTCAGCTATTGCAGCACAGCTGACATGTAGGGACTCAGCCATGTGTCTCAGCCCTCTGGGCTAACTATTGTCACAGTGTCCTTCTTCCTGCATTTATCTCGGCTAGTTTGTGACCCTGTGTGGTTGGGTCACAGCAGATTTACTTTGTGCCTTCCCTTAGCAGGGGGAAGCTCCCATTTGTTTCTCCCTATGCAGTTTTCCCTTTTCTGGGCTGCTGTGGTTTAGACTCTCCTCTCTCCATGCAGGTTTGCTGAGCTTCAGAAGTGTTTTGTATGGCTTTACTTAAAGCCCCCATTGCTGAGCCTTTCTGTTCATACTCACAAATGTTCCTGTATTTCTCTCCATGCAAGTAATAAAGCTCTTTTCATAAGCAACCAAACAAAAAAAAATTAGCTTAGCACCAAAGCTGTTTAAAATAGATAAAGTTTAAAGCTTTACATAAAAAGTGGGGCTGATTTTTGCAGTTCCCATTGTACTCAGCACAGCATTTTGTCATTATAACTTAGGACTAGAGCAAAAGAACCTTGCAATAAAAGGCTGCCATAAATTGACCTTTTGTTGCAAATTCTGCCATTCAAGCATAAAGCAGCACGACAGGCTACATAAGCTGTGTTAAAAGTAGGTCACTGTACATCCACTGTTACCACGGCTGGTCCTGGCTGTGGTTTCTTGGTTTGAGAAGCAATATAGAATCATAGAATGGTTTGGGTTGGAAAGGACCTTAAGATCATCCAGTTCCAACCCCCTGCCACAGCCCTCACACCTAACATTAGACCATGCTGCCCAAGGCTAGAGAGCAGAGATAAAGAACCTTCTACCTCCTCCACAACTGTCTGAACTGTCACTGATTCTTCACTATTGGTCCCCTGAAACATTCAAACCATATCAATCTGTGCATCTCCAGGAGAGTGCAAGTGAAGATGGGTGAGGTGGTCACCCTGTCCCCTTCAAGGACTACATACTGTGAGTGGTGCCTGTGAGAGAATCCCAGATTTTTTCTCAGCATTGTCAACATTACTCAAGAGAAAGCGGAATCCAAGCCTCCAAGAGTCAACAGGATCTTTCTCCATTAACTGCAGTGGGATGGCTCCAGACATTACCTCAGAAAACCACCACGCTCCAGGAAAATGCTTAAGTGCAAAGCTCTGAAATGTCCGAGTAGGAGTGAACAAAGCTCAGGGTCAAATGTTTCCCTGACTCAGACCCCAGCCAGCATAATACAGATAATGCAAACCGAGGGAGTCACTGGAAAGCCTCAAGAAGACAATTATAACATCCATGTTTCCCTGACTGTCCAAGCTTATCTGACTCAGCTGCATTAACTGGCCCAAAACAAGACTGGATTCAAGATCCAAGCTCCTCCTGGATATTGACAGTGCAAGAGCACGTCCCAGAATGGGCAATCCCAATGCCAGCTCTGCCTTGTCCTCAGCTCAAAGGTTTCCTGTTAAATCTTTTTGCTCAGCAACAAGGAAGAGCCTTCATTTACTATCCTTGACATAAAATGACATGATAGACTGAAGAGGAGAAATCACTTCCCTTTGTGTCTCCATTGCAGACTTACACAGTGAAATAATACACAGCCTTTGATCCTGTTCTGCTTCTGTTCTGCACCATCTTTGCAGATGGCTGAAAAATAAAATACAGGATGCGTAGATTTAAAGACATTCAAAGTAACAGACTAGCTGGACTGCATGATTTATGTTGCATTATTCTTTGCACAATGTGACTTACCTCTTTAAGTAGACAGTCTGTCCACCCATCCCCTTCCCTGAGCTCCTGTTCAAAAGGGCTTAAACACTGTCACAGAGAAGAAACAATGGAAGCATGCAAGATGCTGGTACCCAGTCACCAGGGCAAGGAACAAAAACTGCAAGTTGATGGGGTTTACTTACTTATAGCACTGGATAAACATTGAGCAGGAATGTTCTTCCCAATATTTCTCTGCCAGTTCTGAGTGTATGGAAGTATGGTTCCCTATATTGAATTAACACAGGCCAGGAAGAATGGGTGGTCTAAGGTCCCACAGAGCTAGAACACCACAACTTGGTGAGGGACAAGCAACCAAAATCTAGTCCGACTGGCTTATCTGACATACAAGGTAGTGCATTCAATGTGCATTTTCTACCAGTTCTGAATGATGTGCAGCAAAATACATTGAATAACCTTTGAGATATTATATGCTGAAAGGGCTGTGGCCTGTACTGCACAGAAGACCCAAACCCAAACTGAGATTGATTTAAAAATGCTTTGCACATGAACTCTAAACTTTTTAACTCTCCTTGAAACAAGCATCACAGAATTTCAGCTATCTCTGTAGACCTCATTTTCTGAAGTGTTCATGCAGTCAAACTGTGTGATCACACACGTATGTATGTATAGATGTGCCCACTCCACAGAATCACAGGCCAGCTGAGCTTGGAGGGCATCTTTGGGGACCATCTGGTCCAAGCCTTGGTCAAAGCAGGGGCAATGAGAACAGCTTGCTCAGGGCTGCATCTAGTCAGGTTTTCAATACCTCCAAGGATGGAGACTCCACAACCTCTCTGTGCAACCTGCTCCAGTGTTTGACCTCTGAGCAGTAAACAAGTTACTTCTTATGTACCCACAGGATTCCCTATATTTCTATTTATGTCCATTGCCTATCTGGCAGTGTCACTGGGCACCACCACTGAGAAGTGTCTGCCCCATCTTCCTTCTGCTCCCCCTCCCCTCCATTCATGTATTCACACACATTGATAAGGTCCCCTGCAGCCTTCTCCAGGCTGAATAGTCCCAGCTCTCAGCCTCTTGTATGACCCTGTGCAGCCTTTTGCTGGACTCACTCCAGCATGTCCATGTATCCGTTGTAGTGGGAAGCCCAGCACAGGACCCAGCACCCCAGGGCCATCTCAGCAGGGTTGAGCAGAGTGGAAGCATCACCCCCCTTGACCTGCTAGCAGTGCTTTGCCTAAAGCAGCCCAGGAGGTTGTTGGCCACCTTTGCCACCAGGGCACATTGCTGCCTTATGTGTCACTGCTCCCAGGTTTATATCACCTGCAAACATGCTGAGGGTGCATTTACCCTCAATATTCAGGTCACTAATGAAAAGATTAAACAGTTCTAGCCCTAGTATCAGCACCCTTGATAGTGTCTCGCCTCCAGCTGGACTTTGATCTGCTGATCACAACCCTCTGGGCCCAGCACTTCAGCCAGTTTTCAGTCCACCTCACTGTCCATTTATCTAGCCTGTACTTCAACATTTTCTCTTGAGGATGTTGTGGGAGACAATGTCAAGAGCCTCATTAAAGTCAAGATAAACAACATCCAATGCTCTCCCTTCATCCACTGAGCCAGTCATCTCATTGCAGGAAGCTATTGGGTTGATTAGACTTTTGTAAGCTCATGCTGACTACTCTCAACTACTTGGGACTATTTGCTCCATCACTTTCCTATGGATCATGGTGAGGCTGACCAGCCTGTAGGTCCTCACATTCTCCTTGCCCATGTTGAAGACATGGCAAATACATATTTTCTACCAGGTATTCCTTGCTTCAGACTTTCCCATTGGTTTCAGGAACCTGTATTCCTGCAGGCAAATCCTACCAGTAAAGAACAAGGGAAAGAAGACACTGATTACTTTGACCTTTTCCTTGTCCTTTGCCACCAGTTTCCCTGCTCCATCCTCATCTCATCATTGCAGCAACCAAGGCTACCCCTGGCCTTCACAATGCTGCCCAGTTCTCCCCTGTTGCTAAGGGTCAGGTAGAGCAGAGTTCTTCCCTCTACTGGCTCCTCCACCACCTGTGTCAGAAGTGGGTTGATCAATGCACACAGCCTTGATTGTTTGTGCCCTGCTGTGGTGTCCCTTCAGCAGATACCAGGGTGGTTCAAGAACCAGCACCTGCAAACAAGAGGCTTCTTCCAGTTGTCTGCTGCTTCTTCCCAATGAGGTTATCTGTAGGAGACACCCACCACAGCCACTTACATCCTGACCCATATGCTGTCAGCTGGCTTACCAGCTCTCCCAAGGCGCAGCTACACACACTCTTTCACATTGCTCTCACACCGTTATAACTTCTGAATCTTCCAGTTGAGTTTAGAGAAGTGTCTGTCTCAAGCATTTGAGGTTCCTACTACATTCTTCATGGAAGTGTGTCTCCATAGGTGTGGGTGACGGACAGACACCCAACAGGATGCAGGAGCTACTCAACCCACCTTAGATGCTGTAAATCCAGTTATAGGACCCACGTAAATGGGGACCCAAGTAAAGGACAAAATCAGACTACATTATTTCTACTGTGTACAAAGCAGTTCTGCGTTTTTCATAGAAGTAGTGTGAGGCTTTGAACCTTCTAAAATAGAAAATATCTGAATGTTGCTCTCAGAAGAAAGGGACCATTACACCACAGGACATCCCAAGGGAACTGAGGGAAGAAGTGAGACGTTCCTTACACAGCAGGAGTCCAGATCATGAAGTCATTAACCAGTCCTATCATTGCCTGTACTTCCCGCAAGAATTCTAACTGAGCTACAGCCCCTTCAAAGTAATGTCTGGGCTTAAGGATTTTGTACTATCAGACAACATGAAATACCATCTATTGGATCATATACATCAGGGCTCCCATTGCAGAGTATCTCATGAGCACTGGAAGCTCACACTAATATCAGTTATATAGTTTCAGCACCACACAAGCTATTACTGCTTATTTGTTCTTCACTGAGGGTCAGTGACACACTTATATCAAGCTTACAGAGAAAGATGAAATAAAAAGCCCCAAGACTCTAAAAGTAAAGACACAGCTTTCACTTGCTGTTTTAGAGTTCTTCTTCTCAGATATAAACAGGAGGGAGAGGGAATGAATCCAGGCACTGGAGGAAGTCACAAACCACCATTCAAATGCTCTGGTGGCTATTGTTGTCAGTATGGTTGTTAGTTTCCTGGTGTAAACAACTTATGAAATACTATGAAAAAAATCTCCACCTGGATTTAAATCAGAGTTCCCACAGCTTGTTTGTGAATGTGAACTGCTTGGAATTGTTTTAAAGCTTACCACGATTTGCCTGCTTTCTAAATAAGCAGGAATGAGGAACAAAACCATCAGTGGTTACCTCAGGCAGGTATCTCCTTCAACGGGGCTACTCTAGTGCCAGTGTCTGACCTTGCCTCGAGGTTGCTGCAGGTCAGATGTAGAAGGAGCCTTCATCACCAGTGTCATGCAGAGCAGAGCTCAGTGCTGCTCTCAGCACAGCAAGAGCAGCCCTTCACCTCAGGAAAGGGTGACACAGCTGGCCCCGTGCCATTAGAACATGTCTAATTCCTTAGAATGAGAACCTTCTCCTTGAAAGGGTCCTTTGTTTCCATAAATTATGGGTCAAATTCCTAAAAGTGCAAATCTTTCTCACAAGTAACAGGAAGCCCTTGAGCTGGAGTCTCCAATGCAGCTGCAGCCGTTACCTGATCACAAGGATGTATAAGATCCAACATGCCCAAATACTTTTGAGAATCTGGACCAAGAGCTTGAGTTTCACTCATAAGAAATGGAACAAGGACTCCAAAGTGCTATTTTTCTAGAGTGCTTATCAGACCTAATCTGGCATTGTGAAACACACCAGCAGGACCAAAGCACCCCTTGTAAGTATACAGCAAAGAGTGGTCTTTGCTGCTTTTGACTTTACCCCAAATCTACAGCTACTGTCCAAAAGCCCAGACATTCTTGAGACAGATCTGCTGTCATTACACCCTGCAAAGTTTCTTGGTACCAACATACATGGTGGCTGGATGCCTCCATCAGGCCAGAACAGCGATTTGCTCGGAGTTTGTATGACAGAGGCCATCCTGCATAACTGTATAGGCCCTCCCCTCTCTGTTGCTCTGTGACCTGCATTAAACATCATTTCAGGCAGAAATAAGAGAGGCTGAAAACCAGCCTTCTAGGTCTGTCTTGTAAATGCAAGTTGGTGTCCCAAAGGGCTTTTACATTACCTTCAAGGGGACAACTGCAGGGTCAATGTCAGGAGATTTCCATCACCACAAATTCTCCTCCTTAGAAGATCTGCAGCTCTCAGTTGTTTGTAAAGGATTATTGCTACCACAGTCACAGGACATCTTACGCACAGATACCCTTTTTGTTCTTACTGCCAACATTCATGATGTCAGTTTTATCATGTGTTTCTATAAACCTGGTTTAGAGGAAGGCTTTTTTCCATACACAAACAAATATTTCAAGTATCAAACTTGTCTCCAGTAGAATATTGCATTTTGTCCTCCAAAGGATTCTTCTGATATGAGTCCCCAGAGTCAGCCAAAAGAAGTGAATAGAAGAAGTTATAAGTACAATGCCAGGTAATGTTAAAAAAAGATAGGAAAAACCTATGGAGCTGTTCTTTTCATTCACCCCCATTTTCCCACACTGCTTCCATATCAAAATGACAAGACTGTAGGATGAAATTCTAAAATGATATAAAAGAAATTCCACCCAAATTGAACCATTTGTAGTAGACCTGAGGCTGACCGGGCCTTTCTGGTGCTTCTTGCTAACTCAGAGGTGATCTTTCTCTTGTTGTTGCATCTGTGGGCTAGAAGAAGCTGCCGGTGGCTGCAGGCATCCTTCCAGGGCCGTGCTGGAGAACACTCTGTGGGAATGACTTATGTTAGCATCACTGCAGACACACGGTGTGTGACTGTGACACAGATGTCAGGTGAGAACTGCACGGTTACGATAAGCATCAGTACAAAGCCTGTAGCTGGCCAGCGTACCAGGAAACCTCTGCAGACTTACACAACCCTGTTTGTTCCAGTCACGTCAATCAGAACTGCCCTGGCTCAGGAGAAATAAAGCAACTACAGGCAATTATTTTCAAATAATAAAACTCCTAAAATGTAATTGAAGAAACTCTGAAGTCTGCTTTATTCCCGTATAAAAACAACATTCCATACATATCAGGGATTCATCAGAATTCCCCTTCCTCCCTCTTGCCTCCTTGTGAAATTTACTTTTAATAACTGTCAGCTTCCTGAACCACAAAGCTTGCTCTTCTGTTTTGCTATTATTCACTGGTGCAAAATAGAATGCTAAGGCAAGAAGAGAACACAGGTGTGTTTGTCCTGGGTCAGTGCAAAAGGAATTCGCATTCCAGCAGGAGTGGAAACACAGGCAAGGGTCTGATGGGTTCTTTCCAGCCTTTGCCTGCTGCAGTGGGAGGTCTCCTAGAGAGACTTGCCAAAGGTCACCAGCCAAAACTGCACCTTCACCTTTACCTCCTACTCCCATGTGCTGCCCACCATGATGGCTTATCTTGGACGGAATGGGATCATCTTCCTATTGTATGAAGTCATAGAATCCCAAACTTGCAGAGAACAGGGGAGTGGGAGGCATTAACCTCTGCAATTTCCCCTCAACAAACCATCTTGCTTCCCTTGCAACCAGAAACCTTATCACTGCAATCAGGGAGTAGGTGCTAGGGAGAGGTTTCAATGCCTTTCATCCTACCGATGTCTCCAAACTAGAAGCTTGGAAATAACACAATCCAGTGCAGATGTTGCAGTCAGCTCCCTCTTACTGCATTGCTCTTCTGATGAGGCCAGCAACCTCCTTTGTGCCAGGAAGGGAAATACCCTTATGGAAAAGTATGATGGCACTGCACAGAGGTGATGGGCCAGGTTTTTAAGAAGCATTGAGCTCACTGCAAAGGGAGATAGATACTGGAAGATATTATTCAATTGTCTAAATCATATCCATTTCCATGGCAATTTGGTGTCAGTTACCTTTCAAAAATCCCACTAAGCACCACTCCTTCATACCCTGGCTTTTAGCTAGCAATGGACAGTGCCTATAAAATCATGTTTTCTATGTGTGTTAGAAGAGGTTCGAGGCAATTACTTTGTTGAGAAAGTACAGGGAGAAATGAAGCTTGAGAAACTGAACCAAAAGAATTACACTTCGAACCATATAGAATTCTATCTAGAACATACAAAAATACTGAGAATATAGCGGTCAGCTCAGGATACAGCTTTCCACCCCCTCTGTTATACTTTATAGACTTCGCTATAAAACTCTTGTACAATTTCATTTAATACCCAACAGAATTATTTCCCAGATCCAACTCTCTCAACACACACAGTGTGCCAGTGCAGTAACAAGCTATTCCTGATGCAGGATGATGAGAAGATCCATCTTTGGTACTTACATAGTATCATACTGACCTGGAGTATTGACTACAGACCCACATCCCATTATGTCAGGAGCTGCACAAAGAGTAGAAAGAACTGGAGAGCAACCAGGGAGGACCCTTACAAGAGCAGGGAGGCAAACAGAGCACACAGTGCTTTTACAATCACATTGCAGTTGGGTAGAGAATGACCCCTTTCCAGTCCTGGGAGGAATAAGAAATGCAGTTGTGAGACGTGCTTCACCTCCCTCTCCACAAAACTGAGTACCCAGTGGTGACTGTCCTTCTCTAAAGGAAGTTTTCTAAGTCAAGCACATCTCCATAAGCCAGTCTAAGCACATAAAACACCTACCATGCATGCAAATCAGGTGTCCTCCTTGGTCTTTGAATGTGTGACCAGTGAAAGCATTCATGCTAATTCCTGGTCACAAACCTAATCTGAGATTATGACAAAATACAGTGAAGGAATGCCTCCATAGGGAATAGACAAATATAAAAACACATAGGAAAGACCTCTGTTTTTCCAAGTAAACCCAGCAGCTGGTATTCAACTACAAACATGGACCGACAGTTTATTATACTACTTATTATATAGTTTATTATACTCATTGCTTGACCTGACTACAGAGAACGACTACAGAGCTGTTTGAAACTGCCTCACTTAAACACTGGCATTTCTGACCACATCTTTAACACTCAGTCTCCACAACAAAAGATGTTTTTACTTGCTAAGGATATTCTTGCACATGGATCTGTTCGTCAGGAACATCCACAGAAAGTTCTCCCTATATATTGCAGAATACTACAAAACCAAAACCCAGCATCCTGCCAAAGCAAATGCTTGAAAACTGGCGTTCCCAGTGTATAGTTAAGATACTCTTCAAGGAAGTAGGAGCTCTGGGCTTGTACCCTTTCAGGTTGCCATTATGCTAAAGGGGAGAATCTTCCTCCTTTTCCCCAAATCACACTGCTGCCCAGGTACATTCGACAAAGATATGAGTGTATTTGACTCTAGGAATGAACAGGAGCACTGACCTGGGCTCCCAAACAACTTAATGCCACCATTTTCAATCATCAGTTGATTTTAAGGTTCACTTGACATTTGAAGGCACACGAACAGCCTGAATAAAGACTCAAATTTAAGTGTTTTAGGTCAGGATTGGGTGGAATTTAAGTCTGGTGTAGCTCTATATATTTGATAGGAACAACTCAAATGTTGATTGCTAAATGTTTGCAATCTCTTTTTCACACACATCAAGGAGAGATTTGGTAAAATAATTAATAAAAATGTAAGAAATCCCCCCAAAAATCCCAAAAAACAAAGTTCAGAAAAACGAAATCTGCTCATGAACAACTCACAGGTTGTTAAGTCAGAGACAATAAGTAATTAATGGAGCTACTCTGTGAAAAATATGACAGGAGCCATAGCTTGAATTATACCACGGATGCCCTCAAATGCTTGATTTTTATCCAGCTAGAGCAAAACACTCCCTGGTCCTTTAGTACCAGAAGACAAGGGGCTGCTTGCAGATAGAAGTGAGCTGGACCATTGTGAGAAATCACAGCCTGCAGGGGCAAGCAGAGCAATTCAAAGGTTTCCTTTGGTTTTCTTCCTGTCCATGAGCAGGCTGGTGGGCTCAAAAGAACATGCAGCAGCCACTGAAACACAGCCACACGAGTTGCCCTTCCCTGACAGCCAGGGTGCAGAGGGCTTCTGCCTTCTGGAGAAGGTCCAGACACTTCTTCCTGCTTCTCCCATGTCACTGGGAAGTCCCACACCTCCAATTTCCCCCCTTTGGGAAAGCCCTGAAGAAACCCAAGTCTCAACGTCCCAACTATAAAACAGAGTGTTGCAGCCAGTGTGCCTGAGTAGGTGTATGCATGACAGGAGAAGCTCAGAGATTGGGGAGGAGAGGACTGGGACAAAGGCAAGGTAAGTAGGCTGGCAGCAGCAAGACTGGGCAGGCCCAACTGCAGTGAGGGTATGGAGTTCAAGCAGGGTGATGCAGAGCAAGGTGCAGGTTCTGGCCTCCTATAGACACTGTGTGGTGGCACCAGGGAAGAGTAAAGGTTCCTGAGATACATCAGGGAGAGAAGAGCCAAGTCAGGATCATGGTCTGAGAGCAAATACCTTCTAACAGTTAGTGCTTTGACAAGAAGAGGATGATCTGGCAGTGGTGGTGGTTCATGGGGAACACAGTGGACTCAAAATCTTTTAAATACCTTGCTATAAGGTATTTAAAGGCATCAGCAGTTAAACTTCAGACCATGTCTCAGATTCCCTTTTCCTGGCATTATCATTTATAGACATTTTTAAAACCCACCCTTAGGTCCGTCACATCATCTATTAGGGTATAGGGAAGCATAGAGGGAGGGATCCATCATTTCCCTGCCTGCACAAGGCTCATCGGGGATCAGAAGTATTAACCCAAACTATCTAAATGATCACTAACTCTCCAAGCAACATTTCTCCTTCCATGAAGAGAGTTAGAGTAGTCAAAGGGCAAAACCCCTAAATCCATTAATACAGAGGCAAGCTTTTCTGGGGGTGCCTTGCCCCTCAGAAGCTGTTTTGCTAAATCAGGCATTAAAAGGAGAGAGAAACCTGCTTAACCAAAACTGCCCAGGTGATGGTTATCTGACCATCTCTTTCTCTGCTTCACACCTGTGCTGACCAGCAGCAAGTGGACAACACGGACTACTTCCACAGAACACGTGCCACCCTGCAGCGTTCTGCTTCTAGTTCCCAAGCAGTAATTCAAAGTGGGCCTTTCCCACTTCATACCCCATGCATTAAGGCAACTGCTGGCCTGTGCTGGTTTTGCTCTTTATTTCCTGCGTTTTCAGCAGTTTGCAGAGTTAAAATACACTCAATTGCTTAACCAGGGCCACCATCTGGAACACAACCAGGATTAAGAAATCTGCATTTTGTGTCTTTCTGAACAAAGTGCCTTTAGGTATCCTGAGATAACACATGCCTTTTCAGCTCTGTGTCAGCAACAGCTTTGTCTCACCCCCTTCATATTTTTGTTTTATTATGAAATACATTCAAACAGAACCCAAAATCTTTCCAAAGCCAACAAGGAAAGGATTTCTTCCTCCGATTGAAGTGGAGTTAACAAAGTTGTGATGAAGCGCTGCGTGCCGAGACCTGCACAGAGCCAGCAATGAGCACGTATTAAGATGAGAAGAGTCATTGTAAAACTCAGGGCAAAGGGGCTGGGCCCATCCTTCTGCATACTGATATGTACCTTATTATTTCAACAGCAGGCAAACATCAAGACCAGATTGTTTACAAGTATGTGGCAGTAAACCTTGACGGTATTTTGTTTCTTCTGTAGTTAGTGATGAGAGAGCAAATGATTATGAAAAGCAACTGAAGTACTTCTTCCCAGATCGGATGATTCATAACTCCTTGTTGATGCTGTTGTCTCCAAACCAAAGGTTGTTGAAGATGGTGAGAGGAGGAAGGAGGAAGAATACAAAAGACACAAAGAAGAAGTGATGCGGTGCACTTGTAGCAATCTCTCTGCAATCCTGAGCCACCCCTATGTGCATTCCTTAAGTTGCACATGAAATGAGCACACAGTCTGAGACACAGGTAGGAACAGGAGTAAAACAATAAAAAAAGTACAAAACAATGCCTACATGAAGAACAGAAGACTTAGTGCAAGCAGTAGTCTAGACACTGGGTCATGCATTTAAAGCCTATTCATAATTCCTCACTTTAAACCATGACTATGTATGCCCCAAAATGAATAAGCCCAAGTATAACTCAGAGAAATCCTTGTCAGAGCACAAAGACCAAGAAAGGCGCATGTTAACACGTGCTCCATCCTCACCTGCATTAGTCAGAATAACTAGAACAAAGCCAGTGCAGCTGTGCCAGTTTACACCAGTTTAAGCTATGACCTGTTTAAACATTCTTGGATGGAGTCCAGTGATGGAGTCTAGACATTGTTATTCAGAAATAACTTGATCTTCATCTTTTGCTTTTGTACAGAAAGGAAGAGGAAATGTATGTCACAAAGCAACATTTCATGCAGAACAGCAGGGGAAGACAGGATGGTAACCCAATTAAAGGCAGAGCAGAAATTTTTCTAAGCCATTTATAAAGAAACATAAACTATCTCCATCCTCCGGTGACTGAATGAAAAGAGATGGCATGGAGCAAGGAATCAGGTGATCGGCCTTGCAAAATCTTCTTCGCCTCAGAGAACAAAATTCAAGGGCCCATTTCATCAGCATTGCCCCTTCGGTCACTGCTGCAGTCTTCTGCTTTATCTCCCTCAGTTCCTTATCTGGCAGACCCAGCACCCAAGAAAACAAGTCTTGCTACTGTCTGCTATCTCATGTTTGCAAGTTAAAATCTAAAGAGCTTGCAAGGTCTTCTGTGTTTAGAGGCTATGTCAAACAGCACTGGGGTATTTTGCCCCTAGTTGCTTACTAGAAATATTGAAGGAAGAAAATCCCTTCTCTAATATTTGATATCTTTCTGCTCTTCATTGCCTCTAGGTCTCCTGGTCATAAAGTTTTATTTTTAGCTCACTTCTCTTTATGTAACTTCAGCACGCTCCTTCCACACAAATATCTGCACTAAGAGCAGGCAGAGGAGGGGTTCTTTGAAAAGAACATCTGTGAAGTCTTTGTGCTACAGCTTCCCGAAGGCCCTGACATTCTGTCTCTTCCTTTCCTTCTACATCAGCTTCTTGTCTCCTTGCATGCAGCTTTTAAGTATATTTTTAGATAGCTGAACAATTCAAACAGCTTGCCCAGAGCCAGTATTTAAACTTAGACCTATATTTTCAGAAAAAAATAGATTTAAAGTTAG